TTAGCAGTCAACGAGATGAACAAGGGCTTTAATTACCTCCAGACGTGCGCTCAGACCTTCATACGGCAGGTGTGTGCACACACTCACCAGAATCCCCCTCCACCTGCCTCTCATTCCCTCTCAAAGGGAAGCCCGCGTCAACTAGAGCCAGTAAAGTGCAGACTGAGTCTCAGGGAGTGATTACAAATGAATGAATTGCCTCAATCGAACTCAAAAATCAGATTTGATTTTAGTAAAAACAAATGAGACCCAGCATGTCTAAGAAATCTGAGAAGTAATTATAAATGTTTAGATCAGGGCTTCTGCTTTCTGTGAGTTAAAATAGGATGACAAAAACGCCATGCAGTATCCACGGTTGTTATGAGATGGAGTAAAAGTTGAAAGGACAAACAGTGGGAGCCGGGATTTTAAGCTAAAACTGTTAGTCGGACATACAATAAAGGAGTTTTTTGCAGGAAGAATTAAGCCATCGGGCTGTGATTCAGCCTTTTTGCATCAAGCTTTGTGTTAGCAAGAATATACTACCCTTTCCCGGAAATGGTGTAGGGGGAGTGTATAGTCTGGATTCTCATTAGTATACTCGTCTGCAGGTCTCCTTTTAAATCAACCTCACAGGGTTTCAGTTGAAGTTCCAAGAAGTTCAATGTTGACAGACAAAATCGCACAAAAACGCACACAGTCTGGCACCTTGGATCATTGCCAACTCTAAATGGATGTCGGCTGTGTCCAAAAGTTGAAATCCACTCCTTATTTCTTTACTTTTAGCTCTCTGGAGGAGAAACTTTTCCTTCACGAACAGTTTCCCAGCCCCCTGAAGGCCTTTCAAATGACGTAAAGGCAGATATTTTCAGTGGTGGCCTTATATGTGAACATCTTCAGAACCCGTTTAACTTTGATGGATCATTCATAATAGCCCGCATACTTATTTATTCAATGTTTTATATTTCATTCATGCAACATAAAATAAATAAGTGGTTACTTAAATGTTCTTGACCAGACTTATGTTACAACATATCTGCAAAATGAATTAAAAAATCATTAAAAAAATAGACAAAGTCCTCAGGTTTTGGGCATGACTTAAGTTAGAAACACCATAAAATATGTATTTATCCATTTGCAATCAACAGCAAATGCAAAATTGCCATTTATTTGATTACATATTTACTTTTGGCATCCCGGCAAACAGTGTTTTATAGATGACTTACAATGTATGCGTAAACAGAGGAGTAATGGCAAGAATGTGTGAAGAGCTGAGCCATTCAAATAACTCCTCATTATTTCTTTTAATCCTTATTTACAAGAGTTACACGGTGATTAAGACAGCCTTTCAGGCGGAAAGCAAACATGCGTGCTCACAACAACAGGTATGTTTCCAATTATAGGAGAGCAGGCAAATCAATCCAGCGGCATTTTTATATACGCATGAAACGCGTAAAGCCAAGAAGAGAAGAGGGCGATCCTCCTGACAACTCATAAACATTCTCCCCCATCTGCCTCCTCCTCTGAGAGTTCATCAGCTGCCTACCTTTCACCGTGCAGGCGGCCACCGCAACAAAAAGCAGGAAATTGGGAAAGTCCATGTTGGAGAGGAGAGGAGCGGTCCCGCGGATGGGCGCTGGACCTGGAGGGATGCGGGAGTGATGATGATGATGATGATGGGGGGGGGGGGAGCAGGGGGGAGCCGTGCCGGTGGGGGCAGCGGTATTAAATAACCCCTCCTCCTATAATGAAAAGCAGACGCTTGGCAGGACATCGATGAGGGTCTCCAAACTGTCCGCCCACTGGGCTTTGACCAGTAACGAACGGATGTTTATGGACGTTGTGTTTTTTGCAACTTACTTACACATCAAATTGAATCTTTTTTCCCAGAACTACAAAAAAAAAACATCCTACATTGTCTATTTTCTCTTTAAACGCCGTGAAAAATGCTTTTGCAGCTGATTATTATTAGTATTATAAACTGAAACACAACTTTTAAAAGAACAAACATATAAATCCTGTCTTGTACAATAACTTGCCAATAAAAAAAGAGAAAAATCTGTTGTTCACAGTGGACGACACTAAAAAGTTCTGCAAGACTGATCTGACCACAACAACTGCACGTCTGCGTAACATGGGGACACCTGCTGGTCACTGGACGTCATTACAGCTTCGTTTGAGAGTTTACAGGAAAAGTCAAAGGCTGTCCTGTGGTTTCTGGGGATTATTCTGCACACTGTTCCTCAACAGGAAATACTAAAGCCTAAATGTAAAAACACGTTGAAACAGAGATGTGAAAAGCTGTTGCGTTTTGTGAGGAGTGGATCTAATTTCTGTTTATATTATTAACCTGTTTATGCTCTACATTGTTCTCTGTTTTAGAGAAATGTCTGTTTGTGTGTGTGTGTGTGTGTGTGTGTGTGTGTGTGCACGTTTCTTTCTAATAAATAATTATTTGACAGTATTATTTTGCTCCAGATTGAAGGTAAACGCCAACATAGAAGTGGGTTCTTCATTTTTTTTTTCTACAAGCAACTTCTGTTCATGAACTGAAGTTTTCAGGAGTTTTTATTCTGTCATGGTCAGCAAAAAAGATGCTGAAAATAATCTTTATATCAAACTAAATATTTAATTGCCTTGTGACCATTATTGCTTGAGGACAGTTACGCATAATGATTTTACTAGGCTTGCAGATAGGTCTGAATACAAAAACACGTTTAAACCCTCCCATATTAGACACTGTGCATAGTCCCACTGGGAACATGGCACATGATGATTAATAAGAGGGACTTAGCATGCATTCTCTGCAGTAGTTTGGGACTTAATGAATAACAGCAGGCCTTTAAAAGGGAATCCAGCAGTGAAGTGAAGTTTATGATTTATTAATCATAGTTTTGTTATGTATTTCTGCATATGCAGGGATGCATGGATGGGTGTGGTTCTCAGCAACACTATACTTTAAGTCAAAGAGCAGCTGCGTCCTCAGGAGTTAAGTCCTTACAAGGAATTGTTTTTAGGTTTAACAGCTGCTTTCTGTCCATAGAAAAAAAATGTATGTTGAATTTCCTCTGGAATTTGAACTATTTCCTAAACGTGAACTCCCACTCAGAGAAACTGGCCAACTGAAAGGACTCTCTTGTCCTCTCTTCTTAAAAAGTTTTGTTCCTATTTCTCTGCATTGCAATTACAGGAACCCTAAGGGTGGTCTGTACTTCACAAATGGTTTACTGTGCTTTATGTACAGTTCTTGTTCAATTTAGGGAAATACTGACGACATGCAGCAAAGTTGCTGATTTGAAAAACAACTGTAATGTAGATGGACTTTAACATCTGTGTTACATCTGTACATGGACTTTTACATATGTCTTCTATAAAACGGATTAATCTCCAACATATGATAGAGTCACTCAACACTAAATTCCTATTTTGAAATAATTAAGTAAAGTTTAGTGCAATCCTTATGTAGATGCAGATGTGGAGAACACGTATGAGACGTATGAACCATATGAGTTTCTCAAAAATGTCCTGTAAGTAACTAAAGTTACGCTTACTTTTACCTAATTTCGTTCTACTACAAATAACCAGAATGTGCCACATTGCTTCTTCTCCTTACTGGACCCAGTAGCTCAGCTAAGATTCACACCAGCCAACCGAACTTTGTTAGGTATGAGGTCTTCCCCAGCGGACATGAATATGTTTGATTTAGTCTTATTTGAATTATGATATTTTCTTATGCCACTTCTGTATCTCAATTTTACATAGTGATTAGTTAGAAATGTTGCAAAAAAGCTAATTTTCTCAGAAATAAAATATTAGTTGGAGTCTAAATGATTATTTAACATTGATACTTTGCAAGTTAAAGCTGTGTACATTAAATCATATGCACTGTGCAGCCCTGATTTAAATCAGGTTTTGTATACTGGACCGGAGAATCAATACAAAAGGCTGAGTAAATAAAAGACAAGTCCTAATGAGGACAATTTTGGAGCAGACAGACAGTTTTGACAATTATTAAATATATCTGTTTCAAAGGAGTATGTACAGAACTAACTTGATCATTGTAGTATTAAGTGAATCACCATACAGTCTTGATTTTAGGGGGATTTGATCAGTCACAGTAACGTAACCCTCTTGAGTCCCAGGTAACACAAATATGTATTAAAAAAAGATACTGAAGATAAACACAAATTCAAGGACTTTTGAGTATTTGTTATATCTACTAGAATGAGTTAAATAATCCGCTGTTTGGAGCCAAATGTCTCCAATTTTTTGCATTCAATTACTATAAATAGATTCATAGGCGTCCATGTCCTAACGCGGGGTTAAACCAGCTGTCCGTCAGCCAGCCCAGCTGCCCTGTGATTGGTGGATATGCCTAGTGGGCGGGAACAAGAGGAAAACAAGGAAGTGGACGAGCTCGTGACATTTGTGCAGTTCAGTCCCGTTAATTTCTGCCTGTTTTACCAGCTAAATAAGCATAAAAAGGACAATTTACGCTTCGACAACAATGGAGAATGTACGAAAACGTAGAGGCAACAATTTGCACAGGTATGTACTCTTACTTGTTCATGAATTTCCTTTGAATCGCTTCTTTTCCCTCAGGAAAGCACAGTCGATTTAGACAGCAACGAAAAAACAAACAATTCTGCCTCTTCATAGTTTTCCGACAGCAGAGGTGTATCATTTTTAAAAAGGAAAAGTTATAACCCATTCTCGGTGTCGTTTAATAAACGTGGCGGAAGTAGCAAACTATTGTAATTGTCACTGACGAGATCAAGACAATTTCGTTTCGGGGACAGGATGGGGTTGATCACGTGCTCGGGTCCCATGGTAACGCTCTCTGAAGCAAACCCGACAGTCCTATTACATTTATTAATCCTTGAAGGGAAATTACGCTGCTGTCGGTGGAAATATCAAGTGGAAAATAAAAGTAAGCTTCTTAAAAGTTTTGCGAAGTTTCACAACAAGTCGTGGAGTCACGTGTCTGTGAGTTCATGCTGCTGCATCTCTGTTAAGGATCTGAGTTTATCCATTTATCTACCAGTCAATCCTTACTCTTATCCAGGTTAGGAGCAGATAAACAAGACACTGAACATCACTTGGTTCACACACTAGATGGAAACAGTTCTTTAAAAATCAATTCTTTACAGAAGCTGATGGATTAATTATTGACTTTATCACCACCACTTATTTAGACCTATACATATACATATAGCAATTTATGTATATATTTATCTATATTGTATGTTGAATTTTTTATATATATATGTGTGTGTGTATATATATATAAATATGTGTGTATAGACATGTTTATATGTATATGCCATTGTTTTATTTATGGAGCCAGTAACAAAATTAATTACCCTCTGGGATTATTAAAGTATTTCTGATTCTGGATAAAGATAATTATCAATGAGCCATTGCTGCTATAAAGAAAAAAACAGGTCTAGTAAGTGACCCCTGATGAGCAGCAAAATGTACACCCAAAAAACAGAATCAAGACTTTATAACACATGACAATATTTGGTGCTAAGCTCAGAGCTTTTGGGATTTAATCACTGTAACCCTGTCAAAAAAGCAGTTGTCACACTGTCAACCAATTCTCCTGCATGCAAATCAGCTAAGCAGTGATTGTTTAAATGAAATTGGGAGAAAGGTTTCGGGAGAAAAATTGCCAAATGATAAAACTGTCATCTGTTATTGTTGTGACGAAAAAATCAAAGTTCAAATGAAGCATCTGTGTGTTGTCAGAGGGAACAGGTGTATCGTAATTACAGTGCAGATGACAACTTTCTCAGACTCATTTTTTTCCCCCAGCAGGTTTTTCTAAAAGGAAACAACCAAAATTAAAAGTTTTGTTTTAGTTAGATATCTGCTGCAAAAACAAATTAAGTTGCAAATTACATTTGATTCACATCTACATGTCGTGCACAGTGTGTGCATATAATGTGCATTTTGCTTTTGTATTCATTCAAAGTGATAATTTCCTGATGTGAAGACAGACGTGTATAAAATTGGAAAAGAATGTGTTTTATAAGAGAATTTAGTTCAGACTGCACAGACATTTTTTTTTTCACATCTTATTGATCAGTTTTCAGGGTCTGGCCTCATTAATGTAAATATATTCAGCGAAAGCTGTTCAACAACGTGTTTTAATTCTGAATTTACAGCAGCAGTCAATGCTGCAGTAAACCTCATTTTAATGCTGTTCTCCCAACCTGCTTTGGCTCCCATCTCCTTTTTATAAAATTGGCTTATTGCGATGACTTACTGTCACTGTAAATGTGTATTGACAGTGCTCCGGGGCCCTCTCAGGAAAACGAACCACCGATGAAAAGCCAGGCCTTCCACTTTGACCTGTGGTTCTGCCTGACCGTACAGAACTGGATTCTTGACTTTGGCAGGCCTATTGTCATGGTAAGGAGGTGTGATGCACCTAATGCGCTCTTCCAGTGTGGGAATGGGAAAAATATGAAACGTTTTCTTTATTGTGTGTATTAGATCATCCTTCCTCTGGAGTGGTTCCCGCTTAATAGGCCCAGTGCTGGAGACTATTTCCACATGGCCTACAATGTCATCACGCCATTCCTCATGCTCAAGGTAAGTCCTTTCATGAAGAAACCCTTTGATAATGCAGAAACACTTTTCACCAGACTCCTGTCTCTTTCTTATTTCCAGTTCTGTTGCATCTGTCCAACACAAAGCCTCCCAAAAAAAAACCTTACTTCATCGTAATTCACACATGCCAGACAGGGACATGTGAAAGAGAC